GTACTTAATATAGTGATTATTTCATTTACAAATTGCCCTGACTACTGGGAACCTTTTCCCTAAAATTTAAAGTGGAGTTTGCCTTTCTGTATCTTCAATCCATTATCCAGTCTCCTACACTCTGAAATAATGGAGAACAAATCTTGACTTCCTCTTTCTGATATCTTTTCAAGAGTTAAAAAAGATTTAGCCGGCCTATTTTTTTTTTTTAATCCATTTTTTTCTCAAGGCTTAAATATACCCGTCTCTTTCTACCTGTCTTTGTGGCATTTACGTTTGGACTTTCCATTCATTCTTGTTGCCATTGTCTGAATCTGCTCCAGTTTTCCTGAATCCTTCTTAAAAATAGGGCACCAGGACTGCATACTGTATGTACGGTAGTGGCCAAAATTGTGGAAACCTTTTGGGAAAAGTGTATTTTTGAGGTTTGATGGCTAATAACACCACTTTTTGGGGGGAGTAGTACCGTAAAATTATATATCAATGGAAAGATAACAATCGAGAATGTAATGCAACAAAGTTTGTTCAATTATCTGTACTTCACTCTATGAAACACGATAGCCAAATAACCACAAAAAGGAAGCACAAATTGCTCAGGTTGATATCGGGTAGCTTTCCTTCATCCGATTGTAGCCAATGAGTGTTTAGAGAGCCAATCAGGTGTCATCTTGTTTTGGCAATGAGCCAATCAAATCACAGTAGGATCCAGTGATGGATATCATGTATTGAAGCTGAGAGGAGGACATTTGTCAGTGTGTTGTGTGATCGCTATCAAGTTGGTTGGGTTTTTTTTGGTGTTCTTTCATTTAGTGGGCTTGTAAAATGTAATGAAATTAAAGTCATGGTGCAAAGAGTTGACTGGTCGCCCAGAAAGCAATGTAAATTAGTATTATTAAGTGAACAAGGCTGCAGTTATAAAGAACTTAGAAGAAAAATGGGTGAAAACTTAACCAAAGGTGGCATTTCTACTGTACACCTTTCCCAAAAGGTTTCCACAATTTTGGCCACTACTGTAGTCAAGATGGAGGCTAACACAGAACAAAATGGGAGAGTGACTTCTCCTGATTTAGATGTTGATAGAATCAACCTCATGTTGGATCTTTTTAGAGATGATCCTTTAGGTTTTTGTTGGGACTCTCACAGGTTCTTCTAGACCAGGGCTGTTCAACCTTGGCAACCTTAAGAGATGTGGACTTCAACTCCCAGAATTCCTTAAAAGTTTTGCTGGCTGGGAAATTCTGGGAGTTGAAGTCCACAAGTCTTAAAAGTTGCCAAGGTTGGACACCCTCATTGTAGACCATTCCAAACGCACCTAGCTACTCAATTCTCCTTGAAAGCCCCCAATAAGAGGAAACTCTTTCTCCAGTTGAGTCCACCATATAACGAAGGTTCTCACAATCAAAAAAGATTTTCTATTAGCTGATTTAATTATGACAACTTTGCCTATTAATGCTCCTGTTCTCTTGGTCTTTCAGGAGACTTCGCTGCACTCGGAATTATATTCATGCTAATCTTTTTGCTTCCTTTGGGCTACGGGCCATTTCGGTGATAGTGAAGGATGCGTTGCTGGAGACGATGTGGGGAAGAGAGACCTTCCAGATGTCTGACTGGGAAGCCTTATTGAGTCACGAGGTAGATACTGTCTTCTTAAGAGTGGTTTCAGACAATGGAGGTTAAAGACCTTAGAAGGACTTTTCGTCAGGTCTTCTCATAGTCATATGTTTTAAGCCAGGATATCACAAGGCTTGTCTGGCAGCCATTGTAGAAGAATTAGCTGACTCTGTGTCATGGCCCAGGGGATGAGAGGCTTCTTCCTTGCCCTCCAGTAGAAGTTAAGTTCCTACCCTACTCAAACTTCTCCTTGGATCCAGCTGGTTCCACACATTAAACATGACTAGTTGAATAAACCACAATTGGCTGGGCTTACAGGACTTGCTGAGACATGATCCCTGGTTTGCAAATCACACCATCTGAATTCACCCAACAAGCTAAGCCATAATTACTTATGTTGCAGTTTAGTGTGAGGTGTGGACTAGATCTATATGAGAATGGTTCAGATGGGAACTGCCCTAGAGCTAACTCAACGTATTTTGCAACCTGGGGTGAAAGTCAGCAAGTTCATATGATGCATACTGAAGCTATCCAGTCTTATTTTAAGACTTGGAATGGGGTAACATCTTCCCTTCAAGACAGCTGCAGAGTACTTGCCGGGAATACCAAAGTCTTCAGTTCGGTTCCAGGCTATCTCCCATAGAGCTGCAAAAGATCCCTTTCTGATATCCTGGAGGCCCACTGAGGTTGGCTGTTTAGGTGATTTTGGTAGTGAGGTCTACAGCCAGGATGTTCCAATGGGTTCTCACCCAAGTACCAATCAGGTTGTCCTCAAAATGCCCTTCTTTTGGAGAAGTCAAAAGCCATTCCAATAGAAGAGAATATTTGTAATTCCGGGTGGAACAATGGAGTCCTTGGTGCTCTCTGAGCTTGGTTGTTTTCTTGCAGACGTTTCATGACCCAACTAGGTAATACCATCAGTATTAGAAGGGAGTAGGGTTTGCAAAGAGGAGGAGGAGGAGGAGGAGGAGGAGGAGGAGGAGGAGTAGAAGAACTGTGGAGTCCTTGGTGGCTTTCTTGCAGATGTTTCACTACCAAACCAGGTAACATCATCAATGTCATTCTTTCCTCTTTTCTCCGCTTTCCTTCTCTTAGGCTGCCATTGGTTGCCGGGTGGCTCAGGTGTTGATGCAATACTGCATTCTAGCCAATCACTATTGGTTTCTGGTGGAGGCCGTCTACCTATACAAACTGCTGATCGGCGCCGTGTTTTCAGAGAAGAATTACTACACGCTGTACCTCTACCTTGGCTGGGGTGAGATGAAGTCTTCCTTTAACGTTGGGGGCCAGGATTCAAATTATTTCAGTCTTCCCCATTATGCACAACACATTTGGAGGACGTCAAGGGACAAAAGCCCTCATTGTGTTCAGGATACTCTCGGGGAGGCAGGTGGAGATGAGGTGCAATCATCCTAACAATCTTTGCCTTCAAGCACAGGAATGAGGTGTGTTTGCAGCTAATAGTTCGACTGAGTATGTACAGTAGTGGCCAAAGTTGTGGAAACCTTTTGGGGAAAGTGTACAGTAGAAATGCCACCTTTGGTTAAGTTTCCACCCATTTTTCTTCTAAGTTCTTTATCACTGTAGCCTTGTTCACTTAATAATACTATTTTACATCGCTTTCTGGGCGACCAGTCAACTCTTTGCACCATGACTTTAATTTTATTACATTTTACAAGCTCACTCAATGAAAGAACACAAAAAAACCCCAACCAACTTGATAGCAATCACACAACACACTGACAGCTTCAGTACATGACATCAATAACTGGATCCTACTGTGATCTGATTGGCTCATGGCCAAAACAAGATGACACCTGATTGGCTCTCTAAACACTCATGCTCATTGACTACAATCAGATGAAGGAAAGCTACCCGATATCAACCTGAGCAAGTTGTGCTTCCTTTTTCTGGTTATTTGGCTATAACTTTTTATAGAACACAGTACAGATAATTGAACAAACTTTGTTGCATTACATTCTCGATTAAATTATCTTTCCATTGATATATAATTTTATGGTACCACTCCCAAAAAAATGGTGTAATTAGCCATCAAACCTCAAAAATACACTTTTCCCAAAAGGTTTCCACAATTTTGCCCACTACTGTAAATAGGGCTGCGGCCACTGGTTGTAGGGACTGGCAGTTTAAGTCACTTTTTTCAGTGCCGTTGTAATTTTGAACAGTTGTTAAACAAATGGTTGTAAGTCAAACACTACCTGCATCCTCCTTCTTCCTTCCTTTTATTTCTTCCTTTTTATTATTTTTTAATTTTCCTTTTAGTTTTTTTTCTTCTTCCTTCCTTCTTCTTCCTTCCTTCCTTCGAGTCAGAATAATAGAAGGTGCTTTATTGCGCACATTTTAAAATCTGCAGAACTGATTCCAACGGCAAAATTCGCCTTCCCTGGGCAATTTTCCCTCTTAAATTGGATCAGTTCAATGGCTTATGGAACCTGAGATGTATTTCTTGGATGCAATCTTTTCAGCACATAAGAAAAACCAGTAAAATAAAACAGGAGGCAGGAACCAACTTATTGGAGAGAGACTGGCCAGCTAGGCAGAGGAGTCAAGTGGGGAGTTAGCCTGGAATCATCACAAAGGCACAAAAGGGCAAGCCCCCCCCCCCCGCTTTAAATGCCATTGAATTTGATCTTGTCTAGCCCAGATGCAAACTGCCAGCCTGGGAAAGTTCCTGTGAAATAGCCATAAGCAATGAAGTAGCTAATTGAACTCATCCTGGATCTGGTTGTTCGTGTCTGACACAACTTGCTTGCTGATTCCCATGATCATTTTGCTTTTTTTAAAAAAATAGGGTCCCCTGTGGTCTTTGTGGTACCCTGGATGGCTGCCAAATACCTGAAGGAAAACACAGAGTGAGTCTGGAGATGCTGGGTGCGAACCACTTTTAAGCATCTTTTTTTTTTTTTTTTTTGGCAGAAGCTCATGTAGATGGTAGGCCTAATGAATATAGACAATGTCACCCCTTTGCTGTCTTCTTCGACAACTTTCTGGAGGAAAAAATACTTTTCCTCCAGATCTGAACCATTTGTAACGAAGAGTCCTGAAAATGTGTCGTAAGATTTCATAAGATTCCTATCATAGATGGAAGAAGGAAGATTGGGGTTATCGTAAGGATACTAGAACTGGGAATGTCATGTCCTGCTGGAGCAACCTGAAGTAAGCATTGCAGAGCAAGAACAGACCTTAGTTCCGTATATTGTAGAACTTCAAGTTGGCACAGCATCACCACGATACAAAAAAGATGCTGAGACTCTGGAAAGTGTGCAGAGAAGAACAACAAAGCTGATTAGAGGACAGGAGGTTAAATGGTATGATGAATGGTGGAGAGAACTAGGTATGTCTAGTCTAATGAAGAGAAGGAACAGGGAGACATTATAATTGTCTTCCAGCACTTGAGGGGCTTTCACAGGAAAGAGGGAGTTGATCCATTCTCCAAAGCACCTGAGGGCAGGACACGAAGTAATGGTGGAAGATCGTTAAAGAGAACTAGGGGGAAATTTCCGGACAGTGAGAACCATTAATCAATGGAGCAGTTTGCCTCCCAGAGTTGTGGGTGCGCCATCGTTCGAGGTCTTTAGGAATAGACTAGACCAGGGGTAGGCAACCTTTGCTCTTGTAAGGACCCACCCCACGTTGCATCTTAAGAAGACAGAACTCTTGGAATATTTCTTCCAACAGGCATCTTTATTAAGAGAAACTGGTGGCAGGCGTTCTAGACAGGACTTGGGGTCCAAGCCCTACGGTTCAATGTTTTAAGGGGTCCCCAGCAGCCCCATCCCACCCCATCATCCTTCAGCAACAATCGCAGGCGTTGCATTTCCACCCCCCTTTTTCCTCACTGCCGGTGGAAAGGAGACTTCAGAGGGGATTAGATGAAAGCTGATAGCCCCATTGTTATTGATGAGTCCTTTTGGTGGTATCCACATTCAGTCCCTTTGAAGTTGTACCGAAGGAAGTGAGGGCCATAAAACCCCTTTGTTCACCCCCCTTCCCCTTATGACAGAATCCAGAGAGAGCAGAAATGGGGTTTTCCATAGTTGATAACTAGAAATGAAATATAATTGGATTCTGACAGCTCTTTTATGATTTGTGGACTTCAACTCCCAGAATTCCTGAGCCAGCATGGCTCAGCTTGGAAACCTCTCCCTTTCCCCTCAGCATGGCTGGCTCAGGAATTCTGGGAGTTGAAGTCCACGAGTCATAAAAGAGCAAAGGTTGCCTACCCCTGCCCTAGAAGAACAGAATGACCAACCAGTTCTATTATTGTCAAGCCCATGGGTCTTCAAACTTGGCTCTTTTATGATTCGTGGACTTCAACTCCCAGAATTCCTGAGCCAGCCATGCTGAGGGGAGAGGGAGAGGTTTCCAAGCTGAGCCATGCTGGCTCAGGAATTCTGGGAGTTGAAGTCCACGAGTCATAAAAGAGCCAAGGTTGCCTACCCCTGGACTAGACCTAGGGTGTCAAACTGCCAGCCTGCGGGCCGGATACGTCACGCCGAAACTGCCCCCACCCCATTGCTGGCAATGGAGAAAAAGTCACGATATGTTGCAACATGTCACATGATGTTGTGAGTTTGACACCCCTGGACTAGACAATCATTTGAGCAAGAAGGTATAAGGTCTTCTGTCTTGAGCAGGGGATTGGACTAGAAGATCTCCAAGGTCCCTTCCAACCCTAGAATTCTATAGTCTATGGATATATTTTCTGCTCAACAAAAACTACAGGCACTGGATAATGAACAAGCATTGTGATATCTAGGTTGTTGACTGAGGTCCCCTGGGGCAAGGGAGAGAATCTGGTCCTCCTGCCTTCCACCAGGACTAGGGATGGTGAGCAAACGGGCTTTTCCATCCACTCACAAGGCAAGCTGTTCAAGAAACGCCAATCATGGCAATCAATTTCTTTGAAAAACACGATCTTCTAATGCTCCTTTGGACTTAATTGTGGAGTGCCAACTATAAAGCAGCCCCAATGCTCTCCAACCCTCATAGCCAATAAGACCTATTAACAGCCTGTCAGAACATTTATCTGTGCTATGGATGATCAGAATATGGTTCTGATTTGTATCTAATGGCCACCTTATTTTCTATCCTGCAGGTGCTGGGGGGTTAATGAGAACATGGCTTACTGGTGGATTATTCGTTTCCCTATTCTGCTGGCATGCATGGTAAGCACCTCTCGGGTTGAAATGGGAAGGAGATGATAGGACAGTGTTTCTCAACCTTGACAATTTTAAGGCATGTGGACTTCAACTCCCAGAATTCCACAGCCAGCAAAGCTGGCTGTGGAATTCTGGGAGTTGAAGTCCACATGCCTTAAAATTGTCAAGGTTGAGAAACACTGTGATAGGACCTGGTGCAAATCTTCTATGATTCTGAAATTCTACTTTAGGGTCTGTGAAGAACATTGACACTAATCCTTGAAAAAAAAATTGCAATCCCCATCATCTTATGATGTAATGTTGAATTGATTTGCATCACAAAAACCATGGTACTCTCGTTCTAATTGTTCAATTTGTTCCAAATGGTAGCATGTAGTTTTATTTACACACACACACACACACACAATTGAGGTTTGATGGCTAATAACACATTCTTTTTGGGAGTCGTACCATAAAATTATATATCAATGGAAAGATAATTTAATCAAGAATGTAATGCAACAACGTTTGTTCAATTATCTGTATTCTATGAAAGGTTATAGCCAAATAACCAGAAAAAGGAAGCACAACTTGCTTAGGTTGATATCAGGTAGCTTTCCTTCATCTGAATGAGCAGAGTGTTTAGAGAGCCGATCAGGTGTCATCTTGTTTTGGCAATGAGCAATCAGATCACAGTAGGATTCAGTGATGGATGTCATGTATTGAAGCGGAGAGGAGGACATTTGTCAGTGTGTTGTGTGATCACCATCAAGCTGGTTGGGTTTTTTTTGTGTTCTTTCATTGAGTGAGCTTGTAAAACGTAATAAAATTAAAGTAACGGTGCAAAGAGTTGACTGGTCGCCCAGAAAGCGATGTAAAATAGTATTATTAGGTGAACAAGGCTACAGTTATAAAGAAATTAGATTTTGGGCTCAGTTATGGTAAGTTGAGGACTACCTGTATATATATAAATATTTTATTGTAGAAAGACTGGTCTTTTTGCAATTTCAAGTGCTCAGTTCAGCTCTGAACATCTAATCAATGGAGTTAAGGAACTACTTCAATGCCTGGAGTAAGTTCTGAAAATCGCTTTCCGAAGATTTCAGCACATGATGAGCATGAAGTCACCACTGAGTTCATCTTTTTAACTTTCCTGTGTAATGACAATATTTTTTTCAGAAAGCTCAGTCATCCTCCAATACATGCCTCCTGTTTCTTCCCAGGTTAATCTGTTGATTTTCATGCAAATTCTCAAAGTGATCTTGGCTAAGTTACGGGCTAGTCAGAAGGACTACGCGGATTATAAACTGCGGTGAGTTGAGCTCTCCAGGCCAGTTGATTGTGGCTTCCTAACCGAAGGTTGTTATCTCGGTCTGATTCTGCCCTACTAATTCTGACATCTCCACGGTCTCTTCCAGGTTAGCCAAGGCTACGCTAACCCTCATCCCTCTGTTTGGAATTCATGAAGTGGTTTTCATCTTTGCCACCGACGAGCAAACCACAGGAATTTTGCGTTACATCAAAGTTTTCTTCACACTTTTCCTCAACTCCTTCCAGGTAACTTTCACCTCAGCGCCATCCTGATTCATCCTTCAGATATTTATGGTTGGGTCCTAGTCACTGCATTCACTTATATTCAGATATGGAGAATCGTACTGTGGCAACGTTGCAGTAGGAACTTTTCTGTGATTCTTGATAGTCAAATGGTCAAGGTTGATTCCATGTCCAACAGTAACCCCTTCAAAAAGATATATCTGGTAGCTCTTTTTATTTTGAAGAGCTGAAGCGTTCCTCTTCCACACCGTGGCTCACACATAGAGCTTTGTACCAAGGCATTCTGGGAGAGAGGCCTGAATACCGGTAACTAACCATTTTGTGTGTTTCGGCCTTCAAGTCAAACTTGATTCCAAACAACTGTAGTTTTCATTTTAGGAAGTTATTTGCCATAGCTTTCTTGCTAGGGCTGAGAAGAACTGGTCCAAGGCCACAACTGGCTTTGTGCCTAAGGCAGGACTAGAACTCAGTCACCTGGTTTCTAACCTGGCACCTTGAATTACCATACCAAGCTGTCTCTTTGTCTCTAGTCATATAATGCTACAAATCTAGTGTCTAAGTCTGCTTTCTCCAACTTGGTGCCCTCCTAATGCACTTGTCTTCCAATCCCATGTTCTGGGTCCCCCACCAACGTGACAATGGTCCATGCCTTGAGATCGAAACATACCCCAAATGGAAAGTACTGTAGCAGGGGAGGGGGAGGGGGGGAGCTGAATTGGGGAAGAAAGAATGAAAAAATAAAAACAAGAGAGTCCATCTGAACAAGTTTGGCTCTGAAGAGCATAGAATATTTTAGAATTAAATCTAAGAGAAAAATGGTGATGTTTTTGGTAAAGCTGTAGGGATAGACTTAAATATCATAGCTGTAGACTTGGAAGGGACCACAATTTCTACAACTGACCCCAAAATGTAATTTCCACAAGGCAAGATTTGGGTTATGTAACAGGATACCAGCTTATACCCAATTCTGATATCTATCTTGGTCCAGATCCAATGCCCAATCACCACAATTTTAAGTATCGTGACAGATGTGTCTAATAGATTGTTGTTGTTAGTTGCGAAGTCATGTCCGACCCATCGCGACCCCATGGACAACGTTCCTCCAGACCTTCCTGTCCTCTACCATCTTCTGGAGTCCATCTAAGCTCACGCCTACTGCTTTAGTGACTCCATCCAGCCACCTCCTTCTCTGTCGTCCCCTTCTTCTATTGCCCTCCATCTTTCCCAGCATCTGGCTCTTCTCCAGTGAGTCCTTCCTTCTCATTAGGTGGCCAAAGTACTTGATTTCAACTTCAGGATCTGGCCTTCTAAAGAGCAGTCAGGGTTGATCTCCTCTAGGACTGACCGGTTTGATCGCCTAGCAGTCCAGGGGACTCGCAGAAGTCTAATAGATAACCTGTTCTATCTACTACAGGGGTTCCTGGTTGCTGTTCTCTACTGCTTTGCCAATAAGGAAGTGAGTATCCCCCCACCCCACCCTCTCTTGACCCATCACTAATTCTGAACAGCTTCAGAGGGACCCTTCAGGCCTTCTGCAACTTTAGATAAAAAGGCACTAGCAGAGATGGTTTACACTAGTCTTTCTCAACTGTGGCAACTTTAAGATAGATGGATTTCAACTTCCAGTATTCCCTGGCCAGTTTTGCTGGTCTAGACTGAGAGTAATTAAGAGCATCATAATTGGCTATGTTTTTTAAAAAAAAAAATAGAGGGAAGAAATAGAGGATTGATTTTACAGAATTACTGCAAGCTTAAAAGAGGAAATCTAGATATTGATAAAATTCTACATCTTTTCAGATCTAAGTTTTCAGAGAACATTAAGGTTTAGGTAGTGGACTGGGATTGGAGAGATCCGGGTTTAGGTGCCCACTGAAACAAGCAGGTGACAACTTTGGGCCAATCATTTTCCCAGTCCATCCTGCCTGAAGAAGTGGTTCCTGTGTAATAAAATGGAGGCATCTCCATCACATATAAAACACTACAGTGTGCTCAGAGATAAGGCAGGAGGTAAATGTAGTACTGTAATTTTTTTTTTTAAATGCAACCATCTTTTCAGCTATTCTTGGATTCCAGAATCACCCATTAATCTTCTATGTGTTTTGGTCTCCAAGAATTCCAATATTCCTATCTAGGCAGAGGAAAGTGCTGTGAGGTCCAGGAGAAAACATTTAACTCTTAAAAATGCTTCTTGTTCCAGGTGAAATCTGAAATGAAGAAGAAATGGCAGTTGTGGAAACTGGACCATCCAGCGCTCAGCTGCACTCAGTGAAAGAAAGGTGGAATTTGGTGTATCATACAGCAAGGATGTGCAGAAGCGGTTCAGATGGGCCTGGAAACGGCTCTGAAGGGATTGTTGCTGCTGTTTGAGGCAATTATGACCTATTCTGGAATGAAACTCTTTGATGGTTTGCTATCTTCACTGTCTTGAGGCCAAAACATGGGGAAAAGAGCTTGACCCAGTATTGGCAGGAGGATGAGGAGGAAGTTTTGAAGAACGTCATGGGAAAACTGTCTGGAGCCAACGGCAAGAGGAATTGTGAAGCTTTTGAAACAAGTGTCGCATGCACATATCATGGACCTTAATTAGCTCAGGATCCCAACTTTTATTGGTCAGACTTGACTTTCACGACAGGTAAAGGCCTTAATGCTCTTCAGGTATGAATGCCTTGAGTTCTGATCTTATGCCTTTCATATAGCAAGATGTGGAGATCCTAAGACGTGAAAGGGCAGGTCCTCAAGTTCACTTCTGAACATCCTGGATAAGAAGAACTTTTCATCAACTTATGTAGGGCTCCCCAATCAAGCAATGGCCAACTTGATACTTATCTATCCTGGGACTTTCCCTAATATCCACGCCGAGCTTCAGTGCAAATACCACATAACTGGGAGATGGTTTGAAAAACGTTTAAGGACTTTTTGTGATTCACAGGCTCAACAGTTTTCTCCATTCCCCCCCCCCTTTTTTTTAGATACATTAAGTGGCATCATGATTGCTGAAAGAAGCACATTCAGCCTTGGATAAAATGCAGAAAGGGGTGTTTTATGAAGGAATGGTGTACAGAAGGGTTTAGAGTTAAAAATTCCCCGTCTCCTATTTAAAAAGGATACCAGTATTGGACAGCCATGGTGCCCAATTTTCCAAAAGAGGATGGAAATTGTGGTTTTTTAAGCCAGCACAGCAAGAAAGAACCATACTCACCATTCCGTATTAAAAAAGGCAAACCTGAATCAATATTTTTTTTTAAAAAAAAAAAAATTGAAATGCATGATTTTCCCAGAAAAAAACCCAGCCTCAGTCTAGGTTCTGGGAAAAGAGGATGGCCAATAGGAATGAAACTATTTGGGAATTTCAAAAAAAGCACTCATGACGATACTGAATCCTGACAAATGTTAGGAAAATAGCACTTCATGTAAGCTTAGCCCGGCCTGGCATGTTCCTTTAGATTTAAAAAGATGTTGGTGCTTACAGACCTTTGTACCTGTATTAAAAAGAGTGTAAATAAATATTTTTCCAGCAAAAGAGTTGCATCCTGGAGTAATCAGCTGGTCAGGTCTGTCAATGAAATATATTGTGTGAAATCCCTTCCTGGGCTTGGAGGCAAACTTGCAGAACTGCCCATAACTAAGCAGCATCTTGAACACCTTAAGCCTTGTTGTGACTTATTCACAGTGGTAGCGAATGTTGGCTTTGCCAAAAAGAAACCCCAAAAAGAAACAACCAACACTTGACACAGAGGTGTCCAGCAATTTAAAACCCCAAACTCTCTGTGCAACACACCCTATGGCACACTGTCCAAATTTGGTGTCCTGATTACAACTCCTGTTATTTCACCTTCCAGTGTACTTTGGTTTCACTGCAATAAGAGGCCAGCAGAGTGTCTATATATGGCCCCTTCCAGATGTTTTTGAAGAGAGGATAAATTTCCCCTTAAGCATGGTTAACAGCACTTTTTCGTGCGGCTGCTGATAAAAACAGGATCGCCAACATGATCGCCAACGTCCGATAACGGATATGGCACAAGAAGAAGATGGTTAACAGAGCTGGAGGCCACAAGACAGGATAAGATTGCTCTAAATCATGCATTTTGATCTTTACAGTATCATTGTTTTATTCAAAAAGTGTCTACTTCAGTATATCAAAAATAGATTGCAATTCTTATTCTACGTTGCTATAAATAGCCAGAGGTCTGGTTTTCACAAGCAAAAAAAAAGAAAAAGAAGAAGTCAGTCTACAATTAAGCATATTATGACTGAACTATCTTTGCTACAAAACAGTCCCTGCACATATAAGAGTAGCTGGCATAACAGGAGAGAGAAAAAATATCCTAGCTAGAAATCTTGCCTCCATCTTTCTCCAATCTGGTGCCTTCCACCCATTTCAGTTCACAATGTACATCGTGATTACCATCTACGTTGGTTCCGAGGTCATTTTGAAACCTCCAGGAGACACCAGATGGACAAGGAAGAGTAAGCAGGTAAAAAACAGGTAATCTTTCGAGTTCCTTCTCCAGTTGGAAATAGTACAGCCATGCCCGAGGTTTAAATTGGTTTCTGTTTCATAAAGGTCTATCTCGCCTTGCCAGATACAATAAAAAAAAATCACAATCTTTAATAAAAGACAAAAGATGTACAGTATACGATCTGAAGAGAAACCAGACTATAACAAAATTAAAAAAGGAAGTACATTCTTTAAAATATTGTACCGCTTCTGCGGAGTAGGCTTATGGTGTGCACTGGAAAATAATACGTTTGACACCCAACTCGCTTTAACTACGAGTGTTAGCAGCCGTGAACCCTGGAGCTTTACAAATACTCACGTGATCATGGGGTGAAACAGAGAAGGAGGTCCAATCAATAAACATTCTTTGGCAGCATCAGTTTTCTGACCAAACAGAGCATCTTTCTAAAGTCTTGCTGATCTTTTTGCACTGCTTGAACATGTCAAGGAATAGCACACAAAAGCTTGTTGCTGATGGCAACTAAACCAGTTCTGGGGAATTCATTTTGAAGGAGAACTAGTTTCATTGAGTTCTGTAATCTACATTTTTGACATCTCTGGCAAATACAAGGTATAGTGAGATGTGCCTATCAATAAGAAACAGATTAATGAAAAGGCACTTTTTCATTCCCTCTCATCAGCTCTTCAACAATCACAGACAGGTTCTAGAAGATGCAGCTTTTTCAAAACTTGCAGGACCATCACCGTTGACTTCTAGATGGACCTAGAGAACCTTCTGCTTTGAATCTCAAGATCATCTTACAACGTCCATCATCTTGGGATAACTATCATATTGTTCAAGTGTTCAATCTGGCTCTTCAGAACTCTTCTGCCTGAAGATTTTACAACCCCAGTTTTGCTAATGGGAGCCACCTCATATTGTCAAGTGTGAGACTATAATCTGAAATTGTGTGTTAAAAGAACCCAAAAAGATAACACTTTGTTCCTGCTAAAAAAAAAATAAGCATTTCCATTTTTCAAACAAATCACATTTGATTGGAGGAGAAAAGAAAGAATAAAATTCTTGGGAGGGGTGAATTGCAAACTCTTTCGGCTTCTAGGTCAAAAGAGGATGAAGTCCTTAGGCTCAGAGTTTTGCTGTCATTATGTTTCCTGTTGTGGACACAGAGATGGAGGAAGAAGCACCTTAGATGTTGATATCAACAAGGCTTGCTTGATTATATTAAAGAGACAGCAAGCATACGTATCTTCCACAACAAGGCACATGTGAACTTGCTTGCTTGGCACTTCCAAGCTTTAGAGAGCTTGCGTGCTCACCACTCTTCTGGCTTTGCAGATTCAGACCCACGTTCCTCTTTCAGCACAGCAGGTGTGCCATCCAGCAGATCTGCCCTCATTCGTCACCAACGGCGGCCGCGTTTTCCGAGGCCCTCACCGGAGATGGCCCGCGCAGCCGATCCGTCACTTGCACTCGCTCACTCTTGCAGGCAAACACAGCTTCAGGGTGGAATGATCACCCAACGTCAGCATCTCTGCAACATGAGACATGGCTTCAGCCAACTTTTAGGGACCGAAGCCAACAACACTGCTGGCTTGGGACAGACACTTTACAAGGCCGAGCAGCCTCTGGAGCTGGGCGCTCACATCACATCAAGACCCCAGTTCTCCAATGCATAAACGGGGATTCACGCATGGGGCTGAACCACAAACAAGCCCCAGATGGCTTGGTGTGATGCAGAAACCCAACGTACGGAAAGTTGATCTAATAACTAGCTAGACAACCCATGAGCTTTTGGGTCATTGTTTCAGAGGCATTTCCTTCCCGAAACAGAATGGAAGGAAGGAACGGATTTTGCGAACTTCTGACGAGCAAAATCAGTGGGGAAGCCAGATCCGCTTAACGACCAGCTTTACTAACTTATCAACTGCAGTGACTCACTTAGCAACTGTGGCAAGAAAGGTCGTCAAACGGGACCAGGTTCACTTAACAAATGTCTCACTTCACAACAGAAATTTTGGACTCAATTGTGGCCGTAAGTTAAGGACTACCTGTAGTACGTACAGTAGATGTAAAACACCTTCTGGATGACAGTCTCTGGTCTGGCTTCTTGTTTCCCAGAAGGGCCAACCAAGTGTCCCCAAGGCATTCTCTTGGTCTTGAAGACCACAATTTTTTACACGCCAACTTCACCTCTCAGCCTCGGGGGCTATTTGCTCCTCGCTTACCTTCCTCTTCTGCTAGGGCTGTTTGCGGACAGCCTTGCCCTTCTCCGGACGTTGTAGCCTCTCAAGATTATGGTTGACAGAACAGAGAGTTGTCCCTAGACAGACAGAGCAGCTGAGTTATCACAAGTGTCGGGAAACAGAAAAAAACTCCAGTATGACAGGCAAGTAAGCTAACTCTGGGAAGTTGTCTTTTATTCCAGCGTGCTCCCCCCAACTCTTTAGGTACCAGGAACCGGTTCCGTGGAGAGAGGTTTTTCCACGGACCAAAGGGGGCGTGGGTTCGCACGCTGCCTGCATCCCGCGGATGGGGCTTTGCTTGTCGGCGTGGCCTAGTGCCGGTTCATGGACCAGGGGTTGGAGATCCCTGCTTTATTCCACTATGGTCAGGTGCAAAGGTTCAGGACCACATGTTAACTTGCAATTTAGAAGGATTTATTGCTCAAGCCTATAAGCAAGAATCTAGCCAACTGAAGTTCAAATCTGAACCGGTGCCCGAATAGGGTCAAAAGAATTCAAGGAGGATTGAGCTTGGATCGTTTGCGGCAATGTAAGGATTCTAAGCTGATGACACATTTAGCTCTGCCCTCCCAACTCTGCCTGCTCTTCTCCAACATCGATTTCCCTTTGATAGCAACCCGTTGGGTGTGTCAGGCTGCTGCGGTCATTTTGACCAGATTAAGGAGAAGACACGTTCTCAACAGCCTGTGTGAACCTTACCCATTTCTCCCACACACTCCTGCAGAAGAGCTGACAGCTCAGGCAGGCTAAGGGCCTTCAAGGTAGGTGACCATCCTTCGGGGCCTAGGAACAAGAAAGAAATTGGCGGCATTAATTCAAGCTAGCATTGTCCTATAGATGAGATGGGCGTGAAAGTAGCACCTTCCCCGATTTCAGTCAAAGCAGAGCCGTGCCTTTATTTTAAAGGGGGAAAAAGAAAAATTAAACAATTCAGCCGGTTTGCCCCAAGAAAAGTAGGAAAATATTAGAATGAATAGGAAAGAGGGAAAGCTGGTTCCAAGATGTGAGGGAATGTAGGCAGGAAGTGTATTCTCAGGAAGGATGGGGTGGATTACACAGGAGTAAGAGGCAACCTAGCCCAAATACTACCGTGTTTCTCCGAAAATAAGACAAGGTCTTATTTTTTTTTCCCTTCAAAAGAGGCACCAGGTGTTATTTTCGGGACAGGCCTTACCTCACCTCCAGCATCGACAGCCTCACCCAGCCAGTCCACTTCTTCTGGGGCCAAGTTCTGCAGCTGCATTTGGGCCTGAATTTTGCAGTCAAGCCTTTCCAGAAGGTCTAAGCAGCCGAGTACTGAACTATGGATTCAATCCACAGCTTGGTGCTTGGCTGCTGAAATCTTGCAGAACTGAAATCTTGGATTGGATCCATAGCTTGGTTCTTGGCTGCAGAAACCTTCCGGAAAGCCCTGTGACTGAGAAATGTAGGCCTGGCTGCGGAAGAGGCCTCAGAAGAAGAAGTGGGCCTGCAAGGATAGGCCTGGTTGCCAGGTAAGTGGGTGTGGGGCACATAGGGCAGCTCCAACCCCCCATAGTTTGATTTTTAGGTTTGTGCCTCGCCCCAAAACTAAGGCTTATTTTGGGGATAGGGCTTATATTAAGCCCACCCCCCAAAATCAAGCCAGGGCTTATTGTTGGTGTAGGCCTTACTTTCAGGGAAACATGGTATGTGTGAGAGAAAAAAGGGTGAAGACACCCTCTTGGTCATGGACTGAGCATCCCACTTACTGGCTCCTAGCTGTGCTCTGATCTCCGGTCTCTGGCCAGCTGCCTGCTCCCAGTTGATCCGGGAATCCAGCTCTGCCTGGCAGGCCCTGAAAGGAAATCAGAACATCAAGAGGTTACTGTGGAAGGAAATCACACACAGAGAGGCAGAGCAGCACAAGAAATCCTCGTGGAAGGATTACAGGTAGTCCTCGACTTACAACCATTCATTTAACCACCATTTGATATTACGATGACACTGAAAGCAGTGACTCACGACTGGTCCTCGCATTTATGACCATTGCAGCATTCCCCAGGGTCGTGTGATCAGAATTCAAGTGCTCGGCAACCCACATGTCTTTACTAACAGCTGCAGAATCCTGGGGATTCTGTGATGGCCATTTCTGACCTCTTGGAGGTTCACTCACCGCATCTGTTCCAGGAGGATCCCAGCATTTCTGGTGAAGGCCTGGACTTCTTGGAGTTGAGCCTGGGCACTGCTCCAGGCCACGTCCTGCTCCATCAGGCAACTCTCGACCACCGCTCGCAGCTCCTGCTCTTGGCTTACCTGTCCTTTCAGCCCTTTGAGTTCCTCACACCTCTGCAAGCAAAGAGAGAGAAAAGACCAGAGTCTAGTGTTTTTCATCCAACCACAGCTTTCACTCCTCAAGCTAATCTTTTCATCTGCTGGACTTCCTCGGATTTGAAGAGAAAAAGAACGAAAGGACCGGTAGTTCAACCTCCCTCTCCTGGTACTTCAGGGACTTAAACCAATGAGGCCCCCAACTGACACGTACGCCTCGCAACTGGGGTGCAACAGAGCATCATCTTCTCCCTAAGGCGCTCAAAGATTTTGGTCTTTCACCTTGTGAAGCTGAATGGCCAATTCTTGCATTTCGGCTTCCAGTCGGTCGGCATAGGCCAGCTCAAGAGCATCGCTCAGGGGTCGGGCACTACTGTGCCACCGCGCAATGGCCGAGGTCATCTTCCTCTTTGGTCCAAAGAGCCTACCGGGGAAAGTAACCAGGAATCAGAAGGAAAGCTCCCCTCGGAGAGGTTTGCAAGCAGAGTGGCTATTGGAGAACGTACTTTTTTTTAAGTACAGATTTTATTGATTTTCTTTTACATACATATGTTAATTTTTCAACCAACGAGCAGTCTGAGCTCAGCTATGCTAACACGTATTCAATTCCTAATCCTTCATTCTTTCCTCTAGCCAACTATAAAATAAGTCCCAAGTTTGGTAGTAATCTGTGTCTTCTTTATCTTTCAGTCTCATGGTTAATCTGTCCACCTCTGCGCATCCCACATTTGGTGGACATGTGGCAAAGCAAAGGCTTATTGGGAAAAGATACATGCGCGGTTAGAAAAAATATTAGGTGAACACGTTGATTTTAAAACCTGAACTTTTCTTATTAGGTATAATGCCGGAAAAGATTAATCAGCAAAGCCTATATTTGATTTTACACCTCGCCACAGCAGCGAGAATAATCTTTGCGCAATATTGGAAGAATGAAGGACTACCATCAGAGGAAGAAATAATCAGAAAAATATTGGAGAACATGCTCCCACAAAGACCAGTGTCAAAGCTCCGGCTGATGATCCCAACAAAGTAAGCACAGCAGAGACATTCCAATCTCTAATGCAAAACTTTATTGAGTACAACATACCGGCACTAATGAATGGAAAACCAGCTCTGGCAATATGGCGCCAGAAAGATAATTGTCCAATTACTCTTCTGGCCATTTTTATGATAAAAGATTCAATTCCCAGGCAACGGTTTCTCCAATGACCTTGGGTTGCATGCCAGGCCGCTCACAGTGGCTTCAGTACTCCAAACATCCTCCCTCCCCTCTGTGACTATTGGCAAGCTGAGAATTAAAATTGGCTGAAGCAGAATAAATGTTTCGATGCTTGACAGCCACTTGGCACCAAGCGTGTCCAGAAGGTTGCTGCATTCAGTGACATATTAAGTCAAATGCACTACCCCCCCTTTTTTTTAAAAAAAATGAATGCAACCAGACTCTCTATCGGTAAGGAACATTCAGGGCCAAAACAGAAGATGTGAAGCGCTGAGCGATAGGCTATCTGGTATGAAAGCTGCATGGTTCTGGGTCCAGAACTCAGCATAGAAATCTGCTTACGTGATGCCGATCTCTTTTAGGTCAGTCTCCGTTAAAGTTAGGAAGATGCGGAGGTCAATGTCTTGCTCCTCAAAGACCTGCAAGTACTTCAGGCAGCCAATCTGGTCCAGGAAGGTGGCCAGATCCTACAGCCCAGGGGAAGCAAATAGATCGTCAGGAAGCTGTGTTAAAACTCAAGGAAAAAAGACTTGCACCGTTCTCTGTTCCAGCTCTATTGACAAAAACCACACCATTCCCATCAGCTTCTGCATAAAGTCAATACCACCTGAAAGGCAGAACCATCCTCAAGCTGAGAAAGGGGTGATGTGGTGGAAGTAACTCCAACCCCACTACTCAAATGTCTAATATTCTCTGAGCAAGCTTTAGCTCGTAACTCTTGTTCAGGATATTCTACTCTACAGGGATACAGTGAGAAGAATTGAGACAGTTTCTTTCAGGAAACTGCTGGCAAAAACTGGATGTGGCAGCCACATCTGCACCTGGGTCTAGTTACAAGCGCACAAGAGCAACTTCAGGGAGAGCCGACCAGCAACAAGGCCGTTGTAACCACTCCGTAGGATGGATTGCCTTTTCTCTCTGGCCGGCCCTTGGGGATCGAACTTCTGTAGCGTTGTGAGTTTTGTGATGGAATGTCAAGTAGACTATGGGAACATGTGGGAGGGAGAACTGTTACAGGGACAGAATCCTCAGTTCAGGGGAGGGAGGAAGTATGAGAAAAATGACTCTGAATAACTCCCCTTAATTACTTTAGGTCAACGGTCCTCAACCGTGGCAACTTTAGGATTTGTGGACTTCAACTCCCAGAATTCCCTAGCCAGCATCAGAATTCTGGCAGTTGAAGTCCATACACCTTAAAATTGCCAAGGCTGAGGACCATTGACCTAAAGTAATTAAGGGGAGTTCTAGGTATATCTTGACATGGACAATTATTTGGGCAGGTCATCAAGATTCTCTGGCAACACCCAACTCCCAGAATTCCCCAGTCAGCATGATAGTTGGGGAATTCTGGGAGCTGAAGTCCACACCACCTTAAAGCCTCCAAGGTTGAGAAAAATGTTCTCGGCCTACCCTGACATGGAGAATTGTTTTGGCAGGTTCTCAAAATTCCCCCTCCAACACCCAACTACCAATAAAGAACGCTCCAGAAATCCAAAATGGTTCTTCTTTCCCGTATTACCTTGCCGGTCTTGAGAGTTACCTGTGGTCCAGAACAGGAGGCGGTCTCGTCATTAGATGGGCCACAGTGTTGAGCAGATGCTTTGGCTTTCCAAGGCCAGTGAGCGTCACTGTTGCCATAGCGATTCTTGCCTTTGGTAGAACTCTTGGGATGTTTTCGGCTGGAGGATTTGGCTGCGTGGTCAGAGTCCTGCAGACGTTGAGAAAGGAGGACAGGGGATCAGGCCAGCGAAAGCCGCAAAACCCAGGTGTGTTAAAAGATTAAGATGACAGGACCTCCTCCGTTAACAAAGGTCAATTGTTAACAACTTCAGGAGCTCCAGACGTCGTCCCTTTTTTTATTATCATGTGTAGAAAAAGCATCATATTTCTTCTTGAGAAGCAGCTTCAGCCTCAGAATGCTTAAAGCTACCTAGTTTAATGAAAAGAGGCACTAGGGATGAGTAATCCTCCACTTACGACCACAGTTGAGCCCAACATTTACGCTGCTAAGTGAGAAATTTGTTAAGCGAGCTATGCCCCATTTTACGCTTTTTCTTGCCACATTTGTTAAGCAAATCACTGCAGTTGTTAAGTTAGTAACACGGTTGTGGAAGGAATCTGGTGTCATGGTTCCGAAGCAGCTTTTCAAAGAACTTTGAGGCTTTATTTACCTTAAAGAATCCTTTTATTGCTACATAGCTTCAGCACCTACATAATGAAGCCAAAAACTGAATCCTCCCACCTCCAATCACCCGTAACAAAGCATAACTCGCTCCTTCATTTTACAGTCATCAATCACGTTCTCCAATTAGTTTGAAGTGTGAACTGTCCCTCCCGTAACTCCTCTGGTTACAGCTGACCTTGGCAATGCTGTACTGAAATATTGTTGTGGTTAACTATCATACTTTCCCACCCGCTGTGCTAACATTGTCTGCTTTAACTTTAGAAGTGATATGCAGGCTAAATAAAACATGTTTGCTTCTTCATATATGGCAAGCAAGAACATCCGATGTTAGCAGTCTTGACATCTGGCTTTCCCCAGAAGGCTGCAAAAGGGGAATCACCTGACCCCGGGACACTGCAGCCATCATAAAGGTGAGTCAGATGTCAAGCATCCAAATGTAAATCACAGGACCCTGGGGATGCTGCAACGGTCGTAAGTGTAAAAAACGGGTCATAAGTCATTTTTTTCAGTACCGTTGTAACTTCAAACGGTCACTAAGCAAACTGTTGTTAAGTCTGGGACAACCTGTATTCCAGTATTTGAGGGGCTGCTACAAAGAAGAGGGGGGAAGGTCAACCTATTCTCTAAAGCACCTGAAGTCAGAAAAACAAGCCATGGATGGAAACTAATCAAGGAGAGAAGCAACTTAGAACTAAGGAGAAATTTCCTGGCCGTGGAACGGCTTGCCTCCAGAAGTTGTGGGTGCTCCAACACTGGAGGTTTTTAAGAGACTGGACAACCACTTGTCTGAAATGGTGTAGGGGCTCCTGCTTGAGCAGAGGGTTGGACTAGAAGACCTCCAAGGACCCTTTTTCTGTTATTCATCTCTTCCACACCAAGAATATGTATATAATAATAATAATAATAATAATAATAATAATAATAATAATAATAATAATAATAATAGTAAAGTTGGAAGGGACCTTGAAGGTCATCTAGTCCAACCCCCTGCTCAGGGGTTTTCCACTTCTGCTTAAGACACCTTTAAGTCAAGCTCAGTTCCCGGTAGCTACATGGACACAGACACACGCAGTTTCCTTGGCAACTAAGATGGAAATGGTCTTTCCATTCTAGTGCTGTTCTCTTCTGGTGGTCCCTCACCCGAGTACTAAACAGGCCCAGTTCTGCTTAGCTCCCAAGTCCACGTACGACCGCGCACGTGTTGCAAGTTCTGCTTAGCTCCCAAGTCCACGTACGACCGCGCACGTGTTGCAAGTTCTCTACCTCATTGCTCTCTAAGGAGCCCTCGCTGCTGATCCCCACAGTTCTGGCCAGGCCTTCACTGCTGCTGCTGGTCTGGATAATGCCCAGGTCGTTTGTGAAGAAGGAATTCTCTTCTGAAATGGTGAGAAGTGAGAGAAAAAGACCATTTCAGATCCAATAGAGCGGCAATCTTTATATATTCAGATACTGACTGACAAAACGAGGGGCAAATCTCTCTATTTTAAGTCAGTGTTCTATCTTTGATGAACTATGAACTACGCCACAGTATTCGGAAAAATCGTGGATGTTGGCATCCTGGTGCATTTCGATTTATTCGCCAGATGCAAATTGCGCCGAGTTAGGCATACAAAAGTGTCTCGTCCCTTTTTCATAGGGCTTCAGATTAAATTTCAAAGCGCATTGCCAGGTTACAGGTTTTATTAAGAGATGCAAATAACAACTTCCAAGTTCTCCGGCTTTTCAACAGGTGAGATGTTATAAAACAGGGAATGAGAGAAGCAAAAGAAATGTCACAATTAGATTATCTAAGAGCTATAAGGTCACAGTCATTCCTAAGATTCGAAAAGCAAACTGAACCAGTTTGGTCTACTGCTTAAGGTGCTGGCCTACAAACCGGGAGACGGTGAGTTCTAGTCCTGTCTTAGGTATGAAGGCCAGTTGGGTGACTTTGGGCCAATCATTAGGAGACGGTGAGTTCTAGTCCTGCCATAGGCACGAAGGCCAGCTGGGTGACTTTGGGCCAATCATTAGGAGACGGTGAGTTCTAGTCCTGCCATAGGCATGAAGGCCAGCTGTGTGACTTTGGGACAATCATTAGGAGATGGTGAGTTCTAGTCCTGCCATAGGCTTGAAAACCAGATAGGTGACTTTGGGCCAGTCCCTTTCTCTCAGCCCAACTCACCTCACAAGGTTGTTGTTGTGGGGAAAATAGGAAGAGTAAGGTGCATTATGGATGCTCATTATCTTGAGTTAGAGACAGAGAGAGAAGGGAGATGGAGGGAAGGAGAGAGAGGGAGCGAGGGACAAAAGGAGGGAGGGAGAGGGATTGTGGATTGAACAGAAAGCCAATATAGGCAGTGTTGGTAACAGATCACAATCTAATTCCAGGAGCAGGAAAACGATTATTTTGCTTCAGCTCAACAAACACAAAAATCTCATAATCCTATTATAACATCTGCCAGTAAGCAACATACCCCAAAGCCCCTTAGCTCGACAGAGAACAGAAACAAAGAAGCCTAATTCATCTTTAGATTACTTATTCTGGAGCCACATAAATGTCACTGCAACAAAACAGTCCTGTATTTAAAAACAGCTCCGTCTGCCTGGGAAGGCTTTGAGAGGAATCTTAAGACGGTCAGTCTATCCATCCAAAGAAAGCACAGGGTACCTCGACTGCTACTGCTTTCCACATCTTGGTCGTTAATGGGGGAGATGACATCGCGGTACCGAAGGTCACCTCCCTCCAAGCCGCTTCCATCATCTTTAAAGGTGACGTAGCCTTCTGGTGGGACCTGCTCTGTGTGGAAAAGGAAGGGACAGTAAAAGGAAGGGAGGTGAACCAAGGAACGGGAAGTCCTGAAAGCTGAGCAATATGGATCTTGTAAATGTCACAAGCGGACAGACCTTGTTTACGGAATCATTTTTATTCTGCTTTGGCCTCAGAAGGTCTCCAAGACTCCCAAAAGCTAACAAGAGGCAGCATGCAACACTGTATGCTAGGGGCTGGGGAATCCTGGGAGTTGGAAGTCCATAAGTCTTAAAAGTTGCCAAGGTTGGACATCCTTCCAATAAAGACTTTCAGAATGAGCGAATCCAGGACTTCACTCAAGTTACTTTCAGGACAATGGAAAATGGCCAGTGGGTTAAGTACCTTACAGAAGGGAAGAGTTATCAGATTCTCTAGAAGGGTAAAAAACTGGATCTTGGGAAATGATTATGAAGAATGTTATTTTTTTAAAAATCTCTTTAGGAGCTCATGACAGCAGGATAGCCCTCCCTCCTTCCCTGTGTCCCTCAATATTAACTTAGTACAGCAATAGCAATTAGACATATATACCACCTCATAGTGCTTTACAGCTCTCTCTAAGCGGTTTACAGAGTCAGCATATTTGCCCCCAACAACCTGGGTCCCCATTTTACCCACTTTGGAAAGATGGAAGGCTGAGTCCACCTTGAGCCAGTCAGGATCGAACAGCTGGCAGTGAGCAGAGTCAGACTGCATTATAACAACTGCGCTACTACAGCTTCCTTCCTTCCTTCCTTCCTTCCTTCCTTCCTTCCTTCCTTCCTTCCTTCCTCCTTCCTTCCTTCCTTCCCTTCACAAGCAATAGCACTTAGACTTATATACCACCTCACAGTGTTTTAAAGCCCCCTCTAAGTGGCTTACAGTCAGCCTGTTGCCCCCAACAATCTGGATCCTCATTTTACTGACCTCGGAAGGACGGAAGGCTGAGTCAACCTTGAACCGGTCAGGATTGAACTCCTGGTAGTGAGCAGAGTCAGCCTGCATTGTAACAACTGCGCCACTACGGCTTCCTTCCTTCCTTCCTTCCTTCCTTCCTTCCTTCCTTCCTTCCTTCCTTCCTTCCTTCCTTCCTTCCTTCCTTCGCAAGCAATAGCACTTAGACTTATATACCGCTTCACAGTGCTTTACAGCCCCCTCTAAGCGGCTTACAGAATCAGCATATTGCCTCCCAACAATCTGGGTCCTCATTTTACTGACCTCGGAAGGATGGAAGGCTGAGTCGATCTTGAGCCGGTCAGGATCGAACTCCTGGCAGTGAGCTAGCCTGGAATATTGCATTCTAACCACTGCACCACCACAGCTGTAAAGATGTAAGGACTGTAGTGGTGGCAGCCATCTAGGCAGATTCTAATGCAGAGGAGGTAAAACCTGAACTCACCATGATGCAACCGACTCTTCCCTCCAGTTCTGACCGCTGTGATCTTGGCCAAAGCATGAGGCCCTTCGTGAATGCTGGGTCCCCTGGATTTACGGGCAGGCCTTTGCCTTTGGGGAGCGCAGTAAGACTCATCTGAGGAGCTCAGATCTTCATAATTTCCTGAGTGTCCAAAAGTACAAGCAGGGAACTTAAGAGTCTAAACATTTATAGGCAAGCATTTTTGTCATGAGAGAAGGATCTGGAGCAGGGGTAGGCAACCTCGGCTCTTTTATGGCTCGTGGACTTCAACTCCCAGAATTCCTGAGCCAGCTATGCTGGCTCAGGAATTCTGGGAGTTGAAGTCCACGAGTCATAAAAGAGCCGAGGTTGCCTACCCCTGATCTGGAGGAATCACCCAGCCTCTCTCTGTTCGCATCACGGAGTCCCTTCTTGATCTTTGTCATGGTCGTAGTTATTCCATTAGCTTATTTCAACGAAGTAGAGTTTTTAGTCATTCTTTTTAAAAAAATATCTTATCAATAAAAGATAAAATACAAAACAAACAAAATAAAACAAAAGCGTACATTCAACTCTAACAACAACAACAAAGGAAAAAATAGTGTGCAAAAAAATTAACTTTTAACATGTAGCTGGCTGGGTGCTGAAAGAAAAAAAAAGCAGTAAATTCTCTTCCCTTTTACACACACATATACACACGTAAAAGAAGAAAAAGCAGTCAACAGGTTGAGCTAACACACACACACACACGTAAAAGAAGAAAAAGCAGTCAACAGGTTGAGCTAAACATTACACCAATCTTCAATAACATGTAACCATGTTATTATATTTAGCGCGTAGAAAGTCCACAAACGGTTTCCAATCTCTTATAAAGCTGTCTAGTCCAGGGGTAGGCAACCTTGGGTTTTTTATGACTCGTGGACTTCAACTCCCAGAATTCCTGAGCCAGCATGGCTCAGCTTGGAAACCTCTCCCTTTCCCCTCAGCATGGCTGGCTCAGGAATTCTGGGAGTTGAAGTCCATGAGTCATAAAAGACCCACGGTTGCCTACCCCTGGTCTAGTCCATTATCTCTAATCAAAACTTTGATTAGCGTTCTAGTCATTCTTGAATCTGTTTCCTGGCTGGGCTGAGCTCAAAGGGTAGATTTCCATTCACTGTTATCAACCTGGGCTTGCTTTTCAATCAGATTCTTTCCCCAAGACATTTCAGCCTTTTACTCACCTGTGCCTCTGCGGAAGACTTTGGGCACGGGAGCCGTATGTAAGTCTATCAGCCCCACAATCTTCATGTGTCCATATTTCATGGCCAAAGTCCGTGCGGTGGCCCCCGTGCTGTCCCTTATGTCCACTTTCACACCCTGCGGGAAGACACACCGCCTTTCAATCAGTCCAGTAGAAAAGGAACCCACAGCAATTAGACACCGAAACTAACTGGGTGCTCCTAACGTAAAGCTTTTCTGCGTCCATGCTCCCATTGCAATCACCGGGAGATTAAGCATTTATTGTGAAAAGCTTCTGAAAATTAACCTGAGTTGTAAGAGCTTTATTCACACACCGTGCTCAGCCCAAAACAAAACAGCACATTATGGCTGAGCGTGATGTATACACCACCACTGTTCAATAAAGGCTGGGTGGCAGGCAAAGCACTCTGGATTTTCCTGGAAATCAAGGGTCACTCACATGGCTGAGAAGATACTGGACAATGATCTCATGGCCAGATGCCGCTGCTTCCATCAGAGGGGAGCATCCACAGAGGGGTTCCCTGGCATAAGAGAAAGTTAAAGCTCAAGTCAAGATTGGCACGATTAACGACGAGGCAAAGTCACGCTGGTTACGAATGCATAGAATTAAGACAAGAGGGAATTATCCCCCAAAACACAGATTTCATATGATCTCACATTCCGAGGTAAACCATGTTTATTTAAGGATCTGAATTCTGCTCTTCATTTCAAAAGGCTCCTAAGTAACTTCCACAAAGTCAGCCAGCTCAACTGTGCGACTTTGGAACAGTAATTTACCTAAGGAGTTGGCAACCACGAAAATTTACTCTTCTTTCTAGCATTTTCTAATGGCCTCCATGAAAACAGGAGGCACAGTCTCAAGTTTACTTTCTGGGCCACTGAATTTATTTATTTTTATACAGCGAAAGGTGACAGATATAACTCTCCCACCTCCTGTTTTTCCCCACATCTTTGTAACATGGATTGTAAATCTTGGATCACGTGACCCTGGCGATGCTGCGACGGTGGTAAGTGGAGAAAACAGTCGTAAGTCACATTTTTCAGTGCTGCTGTAGCTTTGAATGGTCACTAAAAAAAACCTGTTGTAAGTTGAGCATGACCTGTATTATATTTGGCAACAAAGATGATTAGGGGACTGGAGGCTAAAACATATAAGGAACAGTTGCTGGAATTGGGTATGTCTAGTTTAATGAAGAGAAGGATGAGGGAGGACATGATAGCAGTGTTCCAATATCTCAGGGGCTGCCCCAAAGAGGGAGTCAAGCTATTCTCCAAAGCCCCTGAAGGCAGGACAAGAAGCAACGGAGGGAAACTAATCAAGGAGAGAAGCAACCTAGAACCAAGGAGAAACTTCCTGACAGTGACAACAATTAACCAGTGGAACAACCTGGCTCCAGAAGCGGTGAATGCTACAACACTGGAAGCTTTTAAGAAGAGACTAGACAGCCAGGGGGCTGGACTAGATGACATCCAAGGTCCCTTCCAACATTATATTATTATTATTATTATTATTATTATTATTATTATTATTATTATTATTATTTTCTCCTACCTGCAGTTGGCGTTGGCTCCACTGTCCAGTAAGAACTTCACCATTTGCTGATGGCCAGCACTGGTGCAGTGAAACAGGGCGGTCCAGCCGTGGACGTCTTTCGTCTCCAACTCAGCACCTCGCTTCAGAGAAAGGGAATGTTTGTGATAACATCACAGGATTACCTCGCTGAAAAGTAGGCCTGTTCAAGCTGCCTTCCTGACATTTCCAGACTCCAGCCAATGTCCAGCCAACGTGGGTATCAAACCAGGCCGACTCAGGAAGCAAGAACCATTTCGATTTCTGAAACGTACTTTCTGGCTAGTAGCGTAATAGAATTTTGACAGTCTACTAAAGCAATTCTCCAGGTCAACGTATGCCTAGCGCAGGGGCAGGCAACCTTGGCTCTTTGATGACTCGTGGACTTCAACTCCCAGAATTCCTGAGCCAGCATGGCTCAGCTTGGAAACCTCTCCCTTTCCCCTCAGCATGGCTGGCTCAGGAATTCTGGGAGTTGAAGTCCACCAGTCATAAAAGAGCCAAGGTTGCCTACCCCTGGCCCTAGCATAATTAGGGTGATGTTACTCACTCTTTCTCACGTTCCCCTCCTTCCCTAATCCCTTGGACTCAGGAATCTTTTCTGTTCTGGCCCTACATCTTCTTACAACATTCCAGCTCCTTTTTCCATTTTCCCAGGCTCTCTGAGACACTCCTGCATGGCTGGTGGCCGGGCTTCTTGAAGGACTGCCTCTCCCCTAACAACTACCTGGCCCGTCAGGATGAGAAGATAGGGTACAGGTCTCATCTGGTGAGACCACACACAAAAAGGGTCTTCTCAGTGGTGGCCCCTTTACCAAACATCATTCCCCCTCAAGGGATGACTGGTCCCCACCCTGTTGTTTTTCTGGAAGGCCCTAAAAACATGGTTTTGTCCATGGGTCTGGATGGAGATGGAGCTGATCAAATGGCTGACTGGATTGTGGTGTTGTTGCCAAAGGATGGGGTGGGGAATTGGAAGGAGATGGATTATTCGATGATGGATTTTAAAAAAATCGTAAGCTGCCCAGAGTTCACCTGTGTGTGAGCTGGGCGGCTCTGTAAATCTGTTTAATAAACAAATCCCATTCTGTTTGGTTAGTTATTTTGAGCACATCTTTCTGTGTTGTAGTCGCCACAGATTTGACCTTGTTTCTGAACCGGGCTAGCTTTTATCAAAACCAAAAGCTAATCAGGAGTGGCACTTGCCCTATTTAGACTGCATGGCTGGTTTAACATTTTGACAGCCGTTCCAAAGCTCACCCACCTGAAGCAAAAAAGCAGCCACACATTCGTTCCCACAGCTGGCTGCCAACATCAGCGGGGTCTGTCCTTCTGGGGTTGACATATTCACGCTTGCTCCAGCTTGTAGCAGCAGGCGCACCACGGTGTCGTAACCAATATAGGAGGCGTACATCAGTGGAGTCCAGCCACCGCGGTTCGGCCGATTCAAGTCCTTCTCCCCTCTGGAAGGTACACAGCATGTGAGATTTCCCCAAAGGTGGAAGACTTTTCAGGTCAGCAAAATCCTTTTAATCTCACTGCGTCCATTTTGCCCTTTGGGAGCAAATTTCTCAAGATGGCTTGCTGCAGAAGATGAGAGAAGGGGGGCCAGCTGTGCTTGTCTGCTTAATTTTGACAGGGGATCGGTTGCCACGGAAACAAAAATAGCGGGCGAGATGGGCCTGGAAATGCTCTTCTTATGCTTGTGAAGTACTGTATACTGCTCTCGGCATTTCCTCTGATTTTCTTGAAGGCCTGTTTTGGGCTGCCACTAATTTCACACAGCGCAGAATTGTTTGATCTATTGGTATGCTGCTTTTGTTATTTTTAAAAGCAACTCAAGATGGCAAATGTGTACCCATACTCTTTCTTCCTATTTTTCCTACAACACTGTGAGGTGCGTTGGTCTGAGAGTGAGTGCCAGGTTCAAAGTCACCCAGCCTAAGGCTTTCGTGCCTAAGGCGGGACTAGAACTCACTGTCTCCTGGGTGATTGGCTCAAAATCACCCAGCTGACTTTCACGCCTAAAGTGGGACTAGAATTCATTTTCTCCCAGTTTTTAGACTGATACCTTAACCACTAGAACAAACTGGCTTGTCTGAATTATCGAAACGGAGCAATGCAGGCAAATGAGGTGGCAGCATGGAGTCTCCCATTTTAGACTGGATGTGAAAAACACCATTTTGGAATGTTAAACCCCCCCCCCCATCCCTATTACTTTCATAAAATTACTGACAGTGGGAGGTTCCTGTTAAGATATTCTCTTACCATCAAGCTCCAAAAACCAAGAGAGACAAGATGTGATCTTCCAACTTGTGATTTTTTTTATTGTTTCTCATCTATAGATTGAATCTTGCCAAACTAAAGCAAGCTACCACCCACATCAAGCATATGCTCTGGGAACTATTAGGGAGGAGCTGTCTTCACCCTCTTTCTCTCACACAAACTCTCTGCCCCGAGTTGTCTCTTGCTCCCCTGGAATGCAGCCTCTCCCTCCTGGGAATCCAGACTACGTTCCCTCCCACTTACCGTTCAATACTGTCCTTCACCACCTCATACTGGCCTATGGAAGCTGCTGTGTGGAGGTCCAAAGGTATGTCTAATTCTTGGCGACTAGCCGCCTGGCCCTCTCCGTGCCACATGGTTAGGCTGCGATTCAAGAGCTCCGTCTCGCTGGCTTCGTCGCTCAGTTCCGACATTCTGTCCTCAGAAGCCAAAAGAAAGAAGTTTCTCGAGTTTGTTTTTTTTAATTTCGCCAATCTACTGGAAATGCGATAGCAGGGCGCCAACAATCGCAGGGCTGAAATTAAGACATCGGTACTGTTATTCAACATTCAATGTATTTATTACAATGTTAGAGAATCCTAAGGAGTGATTAGCCTTCTATCAACTACATAAGCGGTTTTGCTCTCCTTGGTTCATAGGAATGTTCCCTTGGACTGAAACCGGACCTGTGCTTTCAGCAATGGCGGGAAGGCAATGGCACACTTAATCACAATAGTCCCTGAATTTTTTACACACTTTCAGAACATGTATTTATTTAAAACATTTAATATACCAGTAGCCGCCCATCTCATAAAACTCTTGAGCAGCTGCCATTCAAAAACATCAATACAGATAGTCCTCAACTTACAGCCATTCATTCAATTGATCAATTGGCTGCTACTTAGCCTCTTCATATCTATGGAAGCAGTAAGGGTATATACTTAGTTTTTCACACATGGCTTCTCCATTTTGGCTTTCTTTTTGTAAAATAAACGACGACATGGTGTAATATGTCATGTGTTGTGGTTTATCTGAGGTTGTGTTTGCCTCCTTTTAAGAACTGCTTAAGGACCATATGTTTTTTCACCATACCCTGTTACATAAAACGAACCACAGAACTCAAAGAGGGTTTTGTTTCTTTTTCAAGACTGTATGTGAGACGGGCAGCTGTATAAAACAAATAAAATGAATACTGGCTTTATTGGCATTTGGGAAATCACTCAAAACCTGGTCTTTTCAACAGGATTGCAGTGAAATTGGGGGTTCACAAGATGGCTATACTATGTGTGGGATGCTAGTCCATTCTCCCACGGTCTTATTTACATCTATGTTTTACTGGTTTTTAAATTGCTTTGCATTTTTTGTATTTGTATTATGCTGTTATAATTATTTTGATTGTTTTATTGTATTCTACCCAGAGCCACATAGATAAGATGGGCAGCTATCTACAACTATTATTAAATTTATATCAAATAAATAAAGCCGTCTATCTCATATATATGATTCTGGGTGGCATTCCAAGAGGTGAAACTATAAAACAATTCAAAGAAACATTAAAACCATCATAAAACAGGTTCTTCCTTGATGGCAAAATCGGAATTCATTTTAGACCCCAGGACTGTTCTCACTTTTATTGCTTTTGGGGGTGTTCCTCTCGTATAAATTGTTCTAAAGGTCCACTGTGCCTCAGCCTTGGCAATTTTAAGATGAGTGGACTTCAACTCGCCAAAATTCCTGAGCAGGGGGGTTGGACTAGAAGACCTCCAAGGTCCCTTCCAACTCTGTTCTATTCTATTCTATTCTATT